GCATCTGGGTTTCTCCTGCTCTTTCCTACTCTATTGTTGCTCGTTGGGTTCCCACATGGTCCTGACCTAGTGCTGGGATGTGTGGTCTGGCCTGTGGTTTCCTCATGGAAGCACGTTTGGCTCTGTGGGGAGCAGCAGGGTGGCGGGGGCACGGCAGGGCGGGGGGCTGCAGGCGTTTGTGTGCGTGAGGCTGCTGGCAGATTCACTCCCTGGACCCTCTGTTGGCTCAAAGGCAGCGGGGTGGGAACGTGTTTGCTTTCCCCGTGCCCTGTGCACACTCTCTCTGCATTCACTCATAAATCCATGCTGGTTTTCCTGGAACTAGTTTGTTGGAAGAGCAGAGGAGATCACGATGGGGAATTGAGATTTTTCCCTTTTTCGTGTCACACTGGCCACGAGGGCAGCTCTGGTGTTTCTTTAACAGCAGCTGAAAAGAAGCTGCTCTTCCAGCCAGGTGGTGTTTGTCTCCAAAAGGAGGTGGTTTAGGTTTCACTGGCCCCACCTGACAGGAATTCGAGCAGGCACTAAAACTAGGGCTGCTTGTGCCTTCGTTATCGGCGTTATCGGCTCGGCTGTGGGGAGCAGGGGAGCCCGGTGCTGTGTGGGGGACAGCGTGAGCCCCCGGGATCTGCTCCAGGCAGCTCCCACCTCCTGGCTGAGTCACCAACAGGCTGAGTGCGTTTGCTGCTGGTGTGACGGCAGCTGTAAGACCCAAAAAAAACCCCCCAGCACTGATGCTTTTAATGACAGGTGAATAACACAGCCCTGAAGAAGGTTCATACCGTGCGTACCTCATGCGAGGGCTATTAGCAGTGACTAAGACCGTGCTGGGATGGGGCAGCGACAGCCTCCCCACATCGCCCAAGCCCTGGTGTAATTAATTCTGCAGGTACCCAGCTCGGCACATTAACCCAAACTGGCCGTCTTCCCGCCTGTCCCCAGCCTTGTTCCATATTTAATCTTTCATGTTCACCTGAGTCTCTAATTAAGCCAACTGCAATCCTTAGCAGAGAGCCCGCAGTGTACTAACGAGGGTTGGTGTTCCCGGAGTGCTGTGCATGCGAGACCACCAAAAACAACCCTGGGGCTGATGGTTTTTCCCTTTGTTTTCTCTTTTTATTTTTATTTCCCCTGAAGAACTAACACTGGTCCCAAAGCAGGGTCTGAAGTGAGGGCCCATTAGCAACAAAGTTCTCAAAAACAGCGTGTGGGGACTGTCTTTTTAAATTTTATTTATTTATTTTTTTAACAGCAAAGTCATGACCAGTTTGAGGTATCTGAAAAGTGCTTTTATTGGGTTTCTTTTCACTGGCAGCTCGTGTCTGGGTGAGGCAGGGCAGTGGGGGAACATCA